GCATTTGTTATACCAAGTGTTATACAATATAAATCTAGATTAGTCATTTAACAAGTGAAGTATTAAGGAGTGAATAAGATAACAAATACAAAACATGTTAGTATCAAACATTAAAGTCCATATTGAGTTTACATTATACTTATTCTTACCCTGTAACCTTTTCACCTTGACATAATAAACTTAGCTAAACATAATGAAAGAAAGAAAAATAAATAAATAAAATAAGAACATAAATAAGATAAGAGTTAACTAAGTAAAGAAAAGGAAATGAAAGGCATAAACTTGATATTAATGAAAGCAAAGCATAAACATTACAAAAAATACAAAGAGAGAAAGCAAGAGCATGTTCTTGATCTGGAAACCAAGATGCCTAAATGCATGGCAAATGCCTCCTTTTATAGGCCAAAATTAGGAACTATTGATTTGATGTCTAATTGATGAGTGGGTGACCAACTCTTGACTTGGCAACAATCCTTATCTTCTATTGTCTGCTAAAAACATCATTGATAACGTCAAAATTGAAACCACTTGAAACATAAAAGCTGTAGGAAATTGTCTCAACTTTCTTGTGTAAAAATTTTAGGTCATTTGGACTTCTAAAACTCAAGATATGGGCCAAACATGGAACAATATTCGGGTTGGAAGACAGATTCAGACATTTATTATTGCTATAATTTGGACTTGAAAATAGACTTTTTAAGTCTTGGGCTCCATATGAAAGTTTTAGGCCTATGTCTTACCTTTTCATCCATATAAAGTAGACCTAAATCTGAGATCTAAAGCTCCAGATATGATCCAATTACCGAATAGTATTCCAGTTTGGACTACACCGGCATCTCTTTTCTAAGTTTGGCCATCTCTTTGTCCTTTCAATTTCAGTTCTTCAATTCATCAATCAATTATTTTATTTATATGATAGGTCTGTATTTAAAATGAACATTTACCATAAATTAAAGATATCTTATATTATTAGATACGTTATTATAAAACATGTTTTAGTTAAGGAGTTATTGATACTTCAAGTGTAAAATGATGATATAAAACCTTAATAAAAATACACTTTTAAGTATGAATAAAATATCCACATGTCCTACACTCGATCAGCTCAGCATTTTTAAGGTAGTACAACATGTAGAAGTTTGAACACATGTCAATTTTCTTGTAACCTAGACTGAAGGGTTTCATCACAAACTTAGTAGTATAAAAGTTCTCTTTCATCCTGTTCCCTTTAAGTAAAATGCTTCTCACCCATTCAATAATTCTATCATAATTGGTCTCACTCAACCTATAATCCGACTTGAAAGTAAACATTTATCTAACAGCCGATAATTTACTATGATTTGTGCAGTTATCTTATAATGGTTTGTTAGAATCTTTCAAAAGATTAAAAAATTTGGTTGTATCTACATTAGGTTTTTCATCTACGATTGTACATTGACTAGCATGACCCTAATTCATTCTCATCACATCCATAATCAAAGTCCTGTAAGGATTACTATTGTCATTTATAATTCCATGCACAATGCTAGCATTAGAAGTTAACCCAATCATCCTTTCTACCATGGTCTTGTGAGGAATAAATGGTTCTTTGTATGCATACCAACACAAGTATTACTCCATAAACTTCTTGTGTAGAAGATGTATTATTACAACATTTGGATCGAGAATTTTTTTATTTTTACACCTCTTGCATGGAAATCCAATACCGACTACTAATATTTCTCATAATAGATGTTGCGTAATTAATAAAACCCTGAATTTCATTACAATAATTCATCCTCTGTATTTCTTGGGGTGAATCCTGATATATATATATATATAAATAATCATCCATGACTAATTCTATCGAACCTATATCAAATAATGATAATATCATGTATTAATTAACTACGTTAAGTGAATAAATTTGTAAAAATATTGGTTTAGCTCAAGATTATCCTACCTACTTTCATACTTCTCTTAATTCATTATCAATGATCAATGTATATATAAATTTGTACATATTCATTTATGAAAATTACAACTCAACAATAAAATTAACAAAATATAAAACGGACCTGTTAAAGAAACAATTATTTATTTTATCACGACACACTTAAGTATGTAATTTGACATAACTTTCAATAATTTACAAGCAAATACAATTTTATAAAATCTAAAACAAACCATAACATTTACATAATCATAAATCAATACAACAAGTTTGTTTGAGAAAAAAACAATAAAACAAGTAAAAACTCAAACAAAATACATATACTACAAAAATATACAATAAAAAAATTGACATTTTAAAATTGTGTTTAAATTTAAAAAAAATGGTAGATTTACTTAAAATGAAAAATCCGCAATAAAATTCCAATCAAAACACGGATGTGTGACTTAAAAAGTTGAAGAAGAATGAGTTGTATTGAGATGAAGAGGGATGTGGGGGGTATTTTGTATAGTTGCAAAGGGAAAGAAGGAGAAATAAGAGAGAGGAGAGTCAATAACCAGGTCATATATTAATTATTAGTAATAGAATTATTGATGGATTGTTTTTTTTTTTTTTCGCTCCGTGATAGGACCAAAAAATTGATGTCTTCTCCCAAGTTTAGAAGTGTCGAAGTAATAAATAACCCAGTAAGACCGGAGTTGAACCACAAGAAGGTTAATTATATAAATTATAGATAACAATAATACAACAACAATAATAACAACAATAGTAACAACAACAACAACAATAATAATAATAATACTAGTAGTAATAGTAATAGTAATAGTAAAGAAGAAAAAGTTGATGAGAACTTTGAGATAGAAGATTAACATAAGGATTAAACAATAATAACAACAAATGTCAAGGTTAGAGGATCCACTAATAGTATGTCAAACAAGTATAGTATAAACTCTTATTATTCAATTGAAAACCACACACAAAGAAGATTCTAATCCGATTATAAATTGTTAACATGATTACATTGGTTATCTTATTCGATTAATGCTAATACTTGTAAATCTCGCCAGGCATTCATGATTATAACTTATGTTAAAAATAAATCAAGTTCCTTTCATAGCTCAAGTATCGGTTATACCATAGAGTATGGACTATACCATATAGTATGGACTATGAAAATGCCAAACATTTGTTGTATCAAGTGTTATACAACATTAATCTACATTAGTCATTTAACAAGCAAAGTATTAAAGAGTGAACAAGATAACAAATACAAAACATGTTAGTATCAAACATTAAGATTCATATTGAGTTTACACTATACTTATTCTTACACCATTAGTGTAACATTTTCACCTTGACATAATAAACTTAACTAAACATAATGAAAGAAAGAAAAATAAATAAATAAACAAAATAAAAACATAGATAAGATAAAAGTTAACTAAGTAAAGGAAAGAAAATAGAAGGCATAAACAAGATATTAATGAAAATAAAACTTAATCATTACAAAAACACAAAGAGAAAGAGCAAAACATGATCTTGATCTGGAGAGCAAGATGTCTAAATGCATGAAAAATACCTCCTTTTATAGGCCCAAATTGGAAACTATTGATTTGATGACTAATTGATGAGTGGGTAGTCAACGCTTGACTTGGTGACAATCCTTATCTTTTCTTGTCTACCCAAAACATCATTGATAACGTTAAAATTGAAACCACTTGAAAACATGAAAGTTGTAGCCAATTGTCTCAGCTTTTCAAAAAAAAAATGAAGGTCATTTGGACTTCTAGAACTCTAGATATGGGCCAAACACTAAATAGTGTTCGGGCTACAAGACAGATTCAGATTTCTTCATTGTTGCTACAATTTGGACTTGAAAATGACTTTATTAAATCTTAGGCTCCATATGAAAGTTGTAGGCCTATGTCTTACCTTTTCATCCATATAAAGTAGACCTAAATCCAAGATTTACAGCTCTAGATATGACCTAATTACCGAAAAGTATTTCGATTTGAACTCCACCGGCATCTCTTTTCTAAGTTTGGTTATCTCTTTGTCTTTTTAATTTCAGTTATTACACTCATCAATCAAGCCTTTCATTTATATGATAGACCTGCATTTAAAATGAACATTTACTATAAATTAAAGGCATCTTATATTAATAGATATGTTATTATAAAACATGCTTTAGTTGAGGAGTTATTGATACTTCAAGTGCAAAATGATAATATAAGACCTTGATAAAAATATACTTTTTAGTTCTAATCATTCTGTCAGTAATTTTATCGGTATAAGTAACATGTCACTATATGGACATCCCTGTTTGAATTCAACTGTAATTTTATCGGTAATATCATCCACAAAACTTACATGTCATCGTACTATTTGATTTTTTTAAATTCCTTTTATTTTGATTGGAATTCTCTCGGTAAGTATAAACAGAGTTAGTAATGAAAAAAATCAGTTCGTAAATATCAGCTTAAAATACTAACAAAAAAAATATGTCAATGATTTCATTTGTATTTATAGATTTTATAGTAGTGTTGTAAGTTCTCAATTGGCAAGGTAAAACAAATTCCCAACATATTTTTCAATCCTCCAATCAAAAATGTGTTTTATTGCTAAATTGAGAATCTAATTTATATGTTTGCATTGGAAGGTATCCATGATTTTTTTTTGTTATTGAGATTGAAGGAATAAGGGCAAGTGTTCAAATAAATCAAATAAAAAAATTGTTATTCTCGGTGACAAAGTTAAAATTTAAGATAAAGATTTGAGACAAAAAAAAAATTAGAATCAACTTGAAAAGATGTATTTCCTATATCAAAGGAAAATCCACATTTATACAATGAAAAAAATTTTGGAATACAAAACATATATCATTTTGAAATTTTCTTGGATACTTACCAAATGCAGTTCAAGTATACCTAATAGAATTCACCCATGCAGATGAGATGAACATGAAGAGACAAAGTAAATCGTGATTTTCGAATGAACCCACTAGAGAACTATTTCTAATGTTGGAAGTAGATACGGGTATTTTAGCGTCCCTCACGTGCGACAAAATGTAAAGCACGTATATGTGGTTTTTTTGGGTGGCTTTCATGTGTTGAGATCATAACTTACCCGTTGTCTACGAACCTACGCGATCTTCTTCTTTTGGTTGGTGGTAGGTAATTGGTTTGTAAAAAATCTCACGAGATTCACTTTGCTCTCTATCTATTATCTCCTTTCAACTCTGCACTCATTAATTTTTTCTGTATGTTTGTTGGGATGTTGCTATAAAAGAGTTTTCAAGTAACAGAACAGGCCAAGCCAAGAACATAGTATATTTGTTTGTTTGTTTATTCGCGCAGAGAAGGAAGAAGAAAAGCAATGGCAGATAGGAATTTGCAGAAGATGGCATCGATAGATGCACAGTTGAGGCTGTTGGCACCAGGGAAGGTCTCTGAGGATGACAAGTTGGTGGAGTATGATGCTTTGTTATTGGATCGGTTTCTTGATATATTGCAGGATTTGCATGGCCAGGATATCAGAGAAACGGTACTTGCTTCTTGTTCTTCTTGTTTTTGCAGTAGTATATTCATCGTGTTTTTTTTTTCTTTTTTCTTACAGTTGCTCCAGTTCTTTGTTAATTCTAAGTATGGTGCTGACTTGCTAGGTTCATGACTGTTACGAGCTTTCAGCAGAGTACGAGGCAATGCATGACCCTCAGAAGTTGGAGGAACTTGGGAAAGTGATAACGAGTTTGGATCCTGGGGACTCGATTGTTGTTACAAAATCATTCTCTCACATGCTTAATCTGGCAAACTTGGCCGAGGAGGTTCAGATTGCTTATAGACGAAGGATTAAGTTAAAGAAGGGAGATTTTGCTGATGAGAATTCGGCAACAACTGAATCAGATATTGAGGAGACACTCAATAGACTTGTGGGGCAGTTGAACAAGTCGCCAGAGGAAGTTTTTGAAGCTTTGAAGAATCAGACTGTGGATTTGGTCCTAACTGCACATCCTACTCAATCTGTCCGTAGATCCTTGCTTCAAAAGCATGCAAGGTGTGTTTCAGTGATAAATGTGTTAGAAATGCAACGTTTCTTGAGATGAGCTGACCTTGAGTGACGGGTCGGTTCTGGTGGAGTTAGGTTAGCATGGCAATGCTTCAAAGATGTCATGCTATGCTAGATGCCACCTTGCTGTCAATTTTCTTTTGTTGATGATATTGCCTCGTTTTTTCATGCATTCAGGATACGGAATTGTCTGACTCAGTTGTATGCCGAGGACATTACTCCATACGATAAGCAGGAACTTGATGAGGCTTTACAAAGAGAGGTATCTAGATGCCAATTGGCTATGCATTACTTCGTAATCTGGCTTAATTATATTTCTGGCCCAATAGAGCAGGTGAAAAGGCAATTATAAATGCATCACTCCAGTGAAAGATCAGTACCATAGAATTGGGTAATGGAATCCAGCGTCATGCCTTTTTATTGATCTAAATATTCTTCCAGATAATATGGCTAGGAAATGAAGCCCTTCCAGTTTCAAGATCATGTGGCTGTTTATGTCTGTTTAATCAATTGAATTACACTTCTTGAATGCCTGTAGCCTCCTTTTGCATTAACTTCTTGGATCTTAGTCAAGACAATAATGATGGCTGTGTGCAACTTTGTTTGTTTAGAATGAGTGTAAATTACATTGCTTCTACCTCATGTAGATCCAAGCTGCATTTCGCACTGATGAGATCCGAAGGACTCCTCCAACTCCACAAGATGAAATGAGGGCGGGAATGAGCTACTTCCATGAGACAATTTGGAAGGGTGTTCCGAAGTTCCTGCGGAGGGTTGACACAGCTTTGAAGAACATTGGAATAAAAGAACGCGTTCCTTATAATGCCCCCGTCATCCAGTTCTCTTCTTGGATGGGTGGGGATCGTGACGGTGTGTGCCCTTGCTGTCTTCAATGGTTTATTGCTATCCCATTTATAGCAAATTCATTCCATTTAGCTGAGCACCCTGGCATTAACGAGTCTTGATAAAGAATCCATCGCTTGGGTTCATTGCGATGAGACCTTAAGAAATCACGAAAACAAACTATTAGAAACTATGTTCTCGGAATTGTTTTTTATTTATTTATTTATTATTATAACATGATTAAAACTTCAAGCCCCCTCTTATTTTTTTTGTTTCCAAAGCAAATCCATTCAAGGAAGTTGCTCAAGAGTTTTATTTTTCTTGAAATATTTTATGGTAACTAGAGAATATCTAGTAAAATACTACTATTTACTTACTAACCACCATAAAATTACTTCATTTTCCTTTCCCCACTACGAGTAGCGTACATTCCATGGATAATATCTGCCTATTTTATTGTTTTTTTTTGTTGTTTGCAGGAAATCCACGTGTAACTCCTGAAGTTACACGAGATGTTTGCTTACTAGCTAGGATGATGGCTGCTAATCTCTTTTTCTCCCAAATAGAGGATCTTATGTTTGAGGTATTACGAAAATTGTGTACAGTAGTCTTCAGGGTACAATAATGCCATTTTTGCTATCGGTTTGTCTGATTTCATTTACAGTTGTCTATGTGGCGCTGCAATGAAGAACTTCGTGTTCTCGCAGATGAACTTCATTCATCTTCAAAAAGATATGCGAAACACTACATAGGTATTTATTAACTCTCCTTTTAAGGATGTTTGAAAATGTACAGATCAGGAATGTAAGTAGTCTACGCATGGCAATGTGACAACAATTTCATGAAAAATTACGCGCCTGCCTTACCAGAAGTTTCCTACTATATTCAAACTCAATGAAAAAACAATATCATTTGATGTATTTTAAATTCGTTTGATCAAATTTTTTTTCTACAGTTTATTTGATTTATAAAGAGCTTCTGGGTTTTTTTTTGCTTTTTCTTACATGGGTTATGAGAACAGAATTTTGGAAACAGATCCATCCAAATGAGCCATATCGTGTTGTTCTTGGAAATGTAAGGGACAAGCTGTACAACACCCGCGAACGCTCTCGTCAGTTACTAGCCAATGGGAAATCTGACATTCCTGAGGATTCAACTTTCACTAATGCTGAGCAGGTCCCTTTCTTGTCAATACTTTCAGTTTGAGGAAATATACTGTTATGGTAACTTTATTGCAGTCTTGCCGTAAGGTATAATTTGGATGATACATGCCTACCAATCTCACCGATATCATTTTTAGTCCTCAAATTTCCACTTGTTAATTGCAAGTGCTATAATTCTGCAGATGAAAGAAATCCCTTTTTACTGATTTTGGTTTTTATTCTTGTAGATCCTCGAACCTCTTGAACTCTGCTACAGATCACTCTGTGCCTGTGGTGATCGACCAATTGCAGACGGAAGCCTTCTTGATTTCTTACGGCAAGTTTCTACCTTTGGACTCTCACTAGTCAGACTTGATATCCGGCAGGAATCTGACAGGCACACTGATGTTCTGGATGCCACCACAAAGCACTTGGGCATTGGATCCTATCGAGAATGGTCTGAGGAGCAGAGGAGGGAATGGCTCTTATCTGAGCTCCGTGGCAAACGTCCTCTTTTTGGACCTGATCTTCCCAAAACTGAAGAAATTGCTGATGTGCTGGACACGTTTCATGTCATTGCAGAACTTCCTCCTGACAACTTTGGTGCTTATATAATCTCAATGGCCACGAGCCCTTCTGATGTACTTGCTGTTGAACTGTTACAACGTGAATGTCATGTCCAACAACCACTTAGGGTTGTTCCATTGTTTGAAAAGCTGGCTGATCTTGAAGCTGCTCCTGCTGCTATGGCTTGTCTCTTCTCAATAAATTGGTATAGAGACCGGATCAAGGGGAAGCAAGAAGTCATGATAGGGTACTCAGATTCTGGAAAGGATGCTGGGCGTCTCTCTGCTGCTTGGCAGCTGTACAAGGCTCAAGAAGAGCTTGTGAAGGTGGCGAAGCAATATGGGGTTAAGCTAACCATGTTCCACGGCCGAGGAGGGACAGTTGGAAGAGGTGGAGGGCCTACCCATCTCGCTATATTATCTCAACCACCGGACACCATTCATGGATCACTTCGTGTGACTGTTCAAGGAGAAGTTATTGAAAAGTCCTTTGGTGAAGAGCACTTGTGTTTCAGAACGCTCCAGCGTTTTACAGCTGCTACACTTGAGCATGGAATGCATCCTCCGGTCTCGCCAAAATCAGAATGGCGTGCTCTCATGGATGAGATGGCAATTGTTGCGACAAAAGAATACCGGTCCATAGTCTTCCAAGAACCTCGTTTTGTTGAATACTTCCGCCTTGTAAGTATTTAACCCAGCATTGTCATTACTCCTACAAATCTGTTCAATCTGATCACAGCAACAAAACTCTAATACCTTTATCAATTCATTAGGAAAGACTTGTTATGGCATAGCTATTATTCATTTCTATGTTATTCTAATTTGAAATAACAGAAAATCAAATGACCATGTCTTGAATTATTCTTGTGATTAGCGAACTGGATATTTTCCTTCTCTTTTCCCTTATCTGAGTATTTAAATGGTACACTGTTTTGGCCTACGCTCATTAAAACTCCTACAAAATTCAGTAATTTAGTGTATGAGGTTTGAAATAGTTTGTGGATCCTTCATTTTCACTGTTTGGAACTATTGTGCTGAAGGACATATTTCCCTTATCTGGTGTTCGGAATTTCCACGATGCAGGCAACACCAGAGTTGGAGTATGGTCGGATGAACATTGGCAGTCGACCATCAAAACGGAAGCCAAGTGGCGGCATTGAATCACTCCGAGCAATCCCATGGATCTTTGCTTGGACCCAGACAAGGTTTCATCTACCAGTTTGGCTTGGCTTTGGAGCAGCATTTAAGCATGTGATTCAGAAGGATATAAAAAATCTCCACACGCTCCAGGAGATGTACAATCAGTGGCCTTTCTTCAGAGTCACAATCGACTTAGTTGAGATGGTTTTTGCCAAGGGAGGTCCAGGAATCGCTGCTTTGTATGACAAGCTCCTAGTGTCAGAAGAACTGCGACCTTTCGGAGACCGCTTGAGAGCAAACTATGAAGAAAATAAGCTCTTCCTCCTCCAGGTATGGGGATAAACCATTAGTGTAAGAGAGCAAATTATATAAATTACTCAAAATCCTTTGATTTGTTCTAGATCCAACCCTGTTCTGTGTTTGAGTACCTATTGCCACAATTCTTTGACGTGGCTTGGATCCACCTGTGAATAAATCCATTATGTTTATGTGCTTGCAGATTGCCGGGCATAAAGACCTTCTTGAAGGAGACCCATACTTGAAGCAGAGGCTTCGTCTTCGCGATGCATATATCACAACCCTTAATGTTTGCCAAGCCTACACTTTGAAGCAAATTCGTGATCCTGACTACCATGTGACAGTAAGGCCACACTTGTCAAAAGATTACATGGAATCGACCAAACCGGCTGCAGAGCTTGTGAAGCTTAACCCTACAAGTGAGTACGCACCAGGCCTGGAAGACACCCTTATTTTAACCATGAAGGGCATCGCTGCTGGCCTGCAAAACACTGGTTAAGAAAGTTTTTCTGCCTCGTAATACCACATCATATAGGAATAACTTGCATGGAATGCAAGTCTGCTCTGTGTCAATAGAACTTTAAACCAGCATCTATTAAGTCCTCTACTGTAAGGTTGTCAAAAACATATTTTTGACAAAACACGGGAATACAATGTAAACTTATATAGTAAAAACATATTATAAAATGGTAAGTAAATTTTTTTTTTTTTCATACATAGCTCAAAGTAAAAATACTAGTAGTTATAGCAGTTGTTACAGGTATTTCAAAAGTAACATAAACAACTCAAGTAGCAGCATTTGCAGCAGCAGCAGAAGTTATGGAAAGCTATCGCTCAAGTATCATCATGATTAATTACTATTCAACTACCTTGTTTTATTATGGTGCCTTAATTTGCTTATATCATGACAAGAAATAGATAGACATAATCATAGAAACTTGGCATGGCTGCTAAAGCACAAATAGATTTCAAGAGGGTAACCAGAAAAACCAGCAGTAGCATGAAAAGATATGGCTGCAACAAAAATGTACAGAATTGCAGAAGCATTAACAACCAGTGGTACATAACAGCAACTCTAAAAACATAAGAAAATTAATTAATTATATAGCAAAATAGACAACTTTTTACTTCATATTCCAAATAATTAAGGAAAACGAGGGGTGCTTAAGTAACTAACGCACGCAAGAAAAGAAAATTGTAAGACATGTTTGGAGAGTTTACTTTCAGGGAGTTGTTGCGTTTTTTTAATATTAGACACCAGTAAAAATAATTGGGAGTTTTTAGGATTTATTACTTGAAGATTTGATTTTTTTTTACTTTGAATAATTTTTTAAAAACTAAGTTATCATAAACCGTATATCATTTAATTTTCAGCCACAAATCTCTAAAATCTTTATTTAGGAGGAACCAATATACCTAGAGTGCTAGTTCTCTATTATATAACTTATATAACTTTTTTAATCTAACAAACAACCACAAAAAATAAGTAACATAACTTACTATTTATAAAAAAAAAATTGAAAAAAATTATTAGTTTACCCCCTTAAATAATATACATATATTAATTCAGAAAAATTTTAGAAATCAACTCAGTCAAGTCCTTATTTGATTTTTCTAAGTTTAAAACTATAATCTCTGTATTAATTATATTCTATCCCTTAATTTCTAAAATATATTTTGATCAAGTCATATTTAATTAAATCATTTCAGTTTAATTTTTGACAATGATTCTTAATGTATGTGACTTATAAGTTTTAAATATGCTAGTCCAAATATAAATTATAATTATAATTAAATAGAATGAAATAAATTAAACAATTTAATTTATTATTAATTTAACAATTGATTAATTTATATTTGAAGATAAGGTTCATCATCTAGCAAATATATCATAACCAGTTTTCAGTGTAATTAATATCTTTTCATCAATAATATTTTAATTTAATAGTAAAGTATGAAGTGTTATTTGTCATGTTAAATCATGTTTGCTCTCTATATAATAGCCTTTGATTATTTAAATAAGATTTTAAATTCTTTTTAAATCTAATTCCTCCTTAGCTAAGGATTTATCAGTGATTATACTACCAGAAAATCAATAAATACAAATGGAAATACCGATGAATTTTTTTTGTCAATATTTTGTAATGATATTTGATTAGTACTTAAAAATATATTTTTATCATGGTTTTATATCATCATTTTGTCGATAACTCCTTAACTAAAGTATGTTTTATAATAACATATCTAATAATATAAGATACCTTTAATTTGTGGTAAATGTTCATCGTAAATGCAAGCCTATCACATAAATGAAAGGATTGATTGATGAGTTTAAGTACCAAAATTGAAAGGATAAAAAGATGGTCAAACTTAGAAAAGAGATACTAGTGTAGTCTAAATTGGAATACTGTTCGGTGATTGAGTCATATCTGGAACTGTAGATCTCGGATTTAGGTTTACTTTATATGGATGGAAAGGTAAAACATAGGCCTACAGCTTTCATGTGGAGTCCAAGATTTAAAAAGGTCGTTTTCCAGTCCAGATTATAGAAATAACAAAGAAGTTCGAATCTGTCGTGCAGCCCAGACACTGTTCAATATTCAGCCCATATCTAGAGTTCTAGAAGTTTAATGACCTCAATTTTTTTTCCTGAAAAATCTAAGACAATTTCCTACAACTTTCATGTGGAGATCTAGTTTAAAATCTAACGTTATCAATGACATTATAGATAGATAAGAAGATAAGAATTGTCACCAAGTCAAGAGTTGGCTACCACTCAACAATTAATCATCAAATCAATAATTCTCAATTTTGGCCTATAAAAGGAGGCATTTGTCATGCATTTAGGCATCTTGGTTTCCAGATCAAGATCATGCTCTTGCTTTCTCTCTTTGTATTTTTATAATGCTTAATTTTTATTTTTATTAATATCTTGTTTATGCCTTTCATTTCCTTTCATTTACTTAGTTAACTTTTATCTTATTTATGTTCTTATCTTGCTTATTTATGTTTCTCTCTTTCATTATGTTTAGCTAAGTTTATTATGTCAAGGTGAAAAGGTTACACTAATGGTGTAAGAATAAGTATAGTGTAAACTCAACATGAACTTTAATGTTTGATACTAACATATTTTGTATTTTTTGTCTTGTTCACTCTTAATACTTTGCTTGTTAAATGGTTAATGACACGACTAAAAGATTGATGTCTTCTCCCAAGTGCAGGAGTGTCGAAGTAATAAATAACCCGGCAAGACCGGGGTCGAACCACAGGGAGGTTAATTGTACAAATTATATAGTACAACAATAACAACAATAATAATAATAATAACAATAATAACAACAATGACAATAACAATAATAACTATAATAATAATAATAACAACAATAGTAATAATAATAATAATAATAATAATAGTAGTAGTAGTAGTAATAATAATAATAATAATAATAATAATAATAATAATAATAAAGAAAGAGAAGAAGAAGAAGATGATGATGATGAGAACTTAGAGATGGAAAATTAATGTAAGGATTAAGCAATAATAATAACAAATGTCAAGGTTAGAGGTTCCACTAATGGTATATCAAACAAGTATAGTATAAACTCTTATTATTCAATTGAAAACCACACATAAAGGAGGTTCCAATCAGATTATAGATTGTTAACATGATTACATTAGTCATCTTATTCAATTAATGCTAATACTTGTAAATTTCGTCAAGCATTCATGATTATAACTTATATTAACAACAAATCAAGTTCCTTTCATAGCTCAGGTGTCGGTTATACCATACATTATGGCCTATGAAAGTGCCAAGCATTTGTTGTACCAAGTGTTATACAACATAAATCAAGATTAGTCATTTAACAAGCAAAGTATTAAAGAGTGAACAAGATAACAAATATAAAACATGTTAGTATCAAACATTAAAGTCCATATTAAGTTTACATTATACTTATTCTTACACCATTAGTGTAACCTTTTCACCTTGACATAACTAACTTAGCTAGACATAATGAAAGAAAGCAAAATAGATAAACAAAATAAGAACATAAAAGTTAACTAAGTAAAGGAAAGGAAATGAAAGGCATAAACTTAATATTAATGAAAGCAAAGCATAAACATTACAAAAAATACAAAGAGGGAAAGGAAGAGCATGATCTTGATCTGGAAACCAAGATGCCTAAATGCATGACAAATGCCTCCTTTTATAGGCCAAAATTGGGAACTATTGATTTGATGACTAATTGATAAGTGGGTGGCCAACTTTTGACTTGGTGACAATCCTTATCTTCTCTTGTCTGCCCAAAACGTCATTGATAACGTCAAAATTGGAGCCAGTTGCAACATGAAAGTTGTAGGCAATTGTCTCAGCTTTCTTGTGTAAACAATTCAGCTCATTTGGACTTCTAGAACTCCAGATATGGCCAAACTACCGAACAGTGCTCGGGCTGGAAGACAGATTCGGGCTTCTTTGTTGTTGCTACAATTTGGACTTGATAATGGCCTTTTTAGATCTTGGGCTCCATATGAAAGTTGTAGGCCTATGTATTACCTTTCCATCCATATAAATTGGACCTAAATCTGAGATCTGTAGCTCAAGATATGACCCAATTACCGAACAGTGTTCCGGTTTGGATTGCACCAACATCTCTTTTCTAAGTTTGGCCATCTCTTTATCCTTGCAATTTAAGTTCTTCAAGTCATCAATCAATCCTTTCATTTATGTGATAGACCTGAATTAAAAATAGACATTTACCACAAATTATAGGTATCTTATATTATTAGATACATTATTATAAAACATATTTTAGTTAAGGAGTTATTGATACTTCAAGTGCAAAATGATGATATAAAACCATGATAAAAATGCACTTTTAAGTACTAATCAGTTAATCTAGATTTATATTGTATAACACTTAGTACAACAAATACTTGGTATTTTTATAGCCCAACCATATGGTATAACCTACAACTATGCTATGAAAAGAACTTGATTTGTTGTTAACATAAGTTATAATCATGAATGCCTGACAATATTTACAAGTACTAACATTAATGTACTTATGTTAACCATTTAAAATCTGATTAGAACCTCATTTGTACGTGGTTTCTATTTGAGTAATAAGAGTTTATACCATACTTGTTTTAAATAGCATTAGTGATCCTCTAACTTTAACATTTGTTGTTATCATTGTTTAATCCTCACATTGATCTTTCATCTCAAAGTTCTCATCAACTTCTTCTTATTCTTCTATTATTATTATTATTATTATTATTACTACTACTACTATTACTATTATTATTGTTGTTATTATTATTATTTTTGTTGTTGTTATTTATAATTTATACAATTTACTTACTTGTGGTTCGACCTCGGTCTTGCCGGATTATTTATTATTTTGATACTCTTGCACTTGGGAGAAGACATCAATTTTTTGGTCGTGCCAATATTTATAGAGTGAATTTTTTACATCGTTAACTTCATTGATAAATACTAATAGAAATATATCGTCAATAAACACTAATGGAAATACCGATAATTAGTGTCTGTTGGTGTATTCCAGAAACGAAGGGAATTGTTCCCTTCCCCCTGACATTGTTCATGAAACATCACATGGATGGAAATATCAATGGTTCATGTCTGTTAGTTTATTCCAAAGGTGAAGGGAATTGTTCCCTTCACATGTCTATGATGGCAATTAAAATTTACTAACTAGCAATGAATTCCACTGTGTTGGTAATTAATGCATCTCTGATTGTTTACTATTTACACTTTTACCAATAGAATTCTTGACAAACTAAAAAAATTTGAAGAGCTTTTT